GTCGCAACTTCTGGGTGCGTCGAGGAACAATAGTCACTGTGGGTTCGCGTCGAAGGGTTCGCCGAGAACCTCTGGTCGCAGGTCGCGGGTCACGGGTCGCGGGTTAGTGTTGGTTCACGTCGTCGAGGTTGCCGAATCGTTCTGATCGCGAGGAGATTTCAGGTCGCTGGTACACGTCCCCAGGTCCCCGACACGTCGCCGAGTTCGTCGAGTCCCTCTGGTCGCAGGGCGGCTTCATGCGTCTTCTCCAAATTGCGATACACAGGGCCGAAATCGCACCTGCTCTGATACCATGAAGTTGACGGAATGATTCTATCTTTTATTGTATATTGAATGAGTAGGAATACATCATATATATACCGAACAAGGATAACTCAAGATAGGATATTGCTATCTATCCCTATCTGATCTAAGACGGAAAAGATAAATGAGTAAACTAAAAAACTACTTAACAAGTAACACTAAGTTTATTTGACTTGGGCCTTGGGCTTTGTCTTTCCAACATAATTTGATGCAATACATTTATACACTTTTATGTTTTTGAAGTGGCCAATCTCATAATCTCGTGTATTTTCATCATTTCATTGGGTCATCAGATGAAGTAATTATAGCTTTTTTATTACTATTACTACTTGGTGATTTCTAATTATTACTAATTCTTGGTTAAATAGAAGTAGATTTCTTTTTTGTGCGTAGCACAGAATTTGAAAATTGAGCCACAAAGTTAGCTGCTTGTGAATAATGCACCGTGATGTACGTTTTGTGTTAGATACTGTTATATTTGAAGTAAATTTTGTATCTTATTGTCTTTGAGCCATTTGGGTTGATAAACAGTAAATTGGGTTAAGATCAGCAGTTGAGGATTTTTGCTGGATCATTTTTGTTTTTTGATTAAAAATGTTGTCGTTTAAGATGATGCGCAACACTCACACACAAACACACTCAATTCTAATGCAGAACAAAGGAGATTTTTGGGAGAATGATAAAAACAGAGAGAGATTATGGCGGAGGAAGGTGTAGAAAAAAAGAAGAGAGAGGGAGAAATAGAGGGAGGAATAGACTCAAGGGGGGAGAGAATAGAAATTGAGGGAGAATAGAACAGAATTTAGGGAGTGAGTGGGAGAATTTGAAGAGCGGGAGATTTCATAAACTCCAATTTCCTTCTTTATGAAGTAATCTTGATGACAACATGCTATTAGAAGCAAAATCAATTTGGTTTCCTCCACTGGAAGAAAACTTGATGACAACTTCCTAATAAAATGTAGAAACAAAATCAAATTTGGTTTCCCCCATTAGAAGGAATCGTGATGACAACTTCTTAATAAAATGCAGAAGCAAAATCCCATTTGGTTTCCTTTACTAGAAGGAAATTTAATGACAACTTGCTAACACTTAAACTCTAAGAAAAGCCAGCTTGCATAGAAATAATAAATTTAAAATCTTCTAATATAGATATTCTTATATTCTATTAGACGTCTTTCTAAACGAGTGGTTAAACTATGCCTTTGTTTGGAATTCCTAAGTTTAACCGATTATCTACTGCTGGTATTCATGTCGATCATTGTATATGGAAATCTTCAATCTTCATTCTATATAAAATACTGTTTTATGTTTTACTTGTCTATAAATCCTTCTTTGAAGGATCCTCTTGATACTGTATCATATTGATTGCGTTTTATGACCCTAGCGGTTCTTCTCAATTATAACATAACGTTTGGCTGGTCTAATGCCCAGTTTTATATAATTTTCCAACCTTGCTAAAAAATTTCTTTCCTTCCTAGATGTAATGTCTACCCTTACACCTTTGCATCTTATTTCCAATTGGTTTTGCAGCGACAGGCGGAGAAAGCATATATGGTTCAAAATTTCCAGGTGAGAATGCTGGATACTGGAGACATACTTTTAAAAAGCTTTGAAATTTTTTGACTATTTATTTTCAGTTTGAGGAATAGAGCTTCTACATTGTTCTTGTGATTTATGTCAGATGAGCCGAAAACAGACAATCAGCTTGGGCATCATGAAAGAGGTCTTTTATCCATCGAGACCAATGATCGCAAAGATGGACGTTCTCATTTTGTCATCACCTTGAAACCTGATGATAACCTTGACAGGTTCATTTGTGTGGCTAACTCTTGGAGCTGTGTTTTAATTTTTGCCCCTTTTTGGTAGAAGTGCATAATATACTAATCCCATCATTTGGAATCTTGGGTAGGACTCATGTGGTCTTTGGGAAGCTTATCCAAGGGCTTGAAACACTTGCGAAGATTGAAAGATATGGTCCCTTCATGCCTATTCAAATAGTAGATTGTGGTGAATATAATGGAAGTAAGATTCATTTTGATCATCGAAGTTCTATCAGGAATGGTGGCAATTATGCCCCAGATTATCTACAAAATATTTTGCATTCCCCCAACATGAGATGCTAGAGCATAATGTGTGATCATTCTCAGCAATGGTATTATTTATAATTAGTGTATAATACTTAAGATGACACAATCAAAAAAAATCTTTGGCCCCTTCTTATTATTGAATGAAATCATAAAATATATGTGAAGTTTAAAATAAAAGAAAGAGGGAGAGTTTGATGCTTGGAAAGCTGTGTATTATTCTGATATGTACAGGGTATAAATAGGTACAGAATATCAATCAAATGAGATTAAAGATCCGAGATGCTAGCCCAGGAAATAGGGAGTAATAATAACAGAATCATATCACACATAATCAGGAATTTAATGGAGAGTTGACTATTGATATTAATTGTAGAGATTTAACCTAGTTGACCTTGGGATTTTGGCCCATAGGCCCACTAGGGTAGACGCTAACAAGATGCTTGTTTTTATGAGAATGAAACTTACCTAAAGCTCTTGGTTACTTGATGTACTAGACTATTAGTGCTTTTCTCTTAGTTTACTCCTCTAGTGACATTATGTTTGTGGTTCCCATTATTTTACTGACCCACAACTAGCCATTAATTTTAAACAAAGTAAACGGCTTATGTGGTCTGACAAATTGGAGGTATGAGGGGACCCTCTTTTTGCATTATGCTATTACCCTTACATCTCTTGATCTATATTTTTTTGGGCTGATTTGTTTTATCAGCAAGTAATTTTGTTGTGTGCTGTTATTGCAGATGACTCCGATGCTGAGGACGACACAGGTGAAACTAAATAAATGTTTTAGTTTTTCATTGTATTAAGGTGGTATTCAGAGTTGAACATTACAAAGTAATCTTATCTATGGAGTGAACTCTGGTATGCATGTACTGTGGTAAACGCAGGATGCTCCTCGTTTGGAAGACTCAATGAAGGGCAATTAATAGGGGATGAAGACGAAGACAGAAGGTTCAAATCACATCCATAATTCTCGTTAAAAGAGGAAATCTGTACAACTTTGCATATCTTTTGGTGCTAAATTCATGGCTACCCATTGCATCTTGGACAAAAACTCAAAGTTGAACACGCATTGAAATGGTATCAATAAGAATCGTTTAGTTATCATCATAGTGAGTTTGTCTTGAGAAATAATGTGTTATCCACACATGTACTTTCTATTAGGCTTTTTTTCGGTTTAAAATGGGACTATAGTAATTTAACAACTAGATAGGTGTTTGTGCAAATTTAGCAAGAGCATCAGCATATTGATTACAATATCAAATGATATAATTAAAAGTGACATTCCAAGTTTAAGGGAATATGTTTTGCTTCGCAGTGTGAGGAACCTAGCTAGTGATTATCTTTTATTGATGTGTGTACCTTTCTTCTGGAATATTGCTGAACCATGATATTGGAAATGTTAGCGTATGATTTATCTGAATTTCCATGTTGGCTGTCTTATGGTTTTGACCATTATGATGGGTAAAGGATCGATTTGACCATGTAAACTTGGAAATTCATGATTTGGTTGATTTTCTAACTTACAATTAAAGTTCTATTGACTTGGTTTTTTTGTTTAAGCTTGAAATTTGGAAATAGATATTTTGGATGGAAACCCTAGAATGGGAATTTGGGTACTTTGATTAACTGCAACAACGTGAATCTAATTGAGGATTCTGTCAAGCTATTTCGATTGAGGAAGGATGAAAAATTGTGTTGGAAGGATTAATTGTGGTTTATGGTGAAATTTGGCAATTTGTAGGCAAAAGTTGGAAACTTATGTAATTGAGTTAATTATCCAACTAGTACATGTATTATGGACTAAGTATGTAGACTGATTATTGCTTTGTGTGGGATGTATCAAATTGTGGTAATCTTGTTGCCTTTGGTGGGTGTAACTACTTTTCACTTACTGTGTCTGCTAGTATAATTTTTGTAATTGATTTCTAGAGTATGATGTTTATGACATACCTTGAGAAAATAGTTTCGAAGTGTGATTTTTATATAACTATCTGTGCAAAATATGGTACGAATTATTGTGAAATGTCAGAAGATGTTCATAAAACTTTCCGTGAGATTTGATGTGCGAGAGAGGGAATCCATGCTTCGGTTGTGTGCTTTGCAAGCCTTACCTGGTCTTACCACATGTTTATGATTAACTTGCAACATTTTCATGTCATGAGTTTTACGTCAAGAGCAACCAAATACTTGTGCCATCACCATTACACAACACTCATCCACCGACTATGATAAATGTAATATGGAAGCAACAACACAATCAGATGTTTGTACTTTGATAGCTTGAAGAATGAGCTTTCTTAGATAGAAGCCAATTCCAATAATACAACGATAAATATAAAACGGATAACCAAAAAAAGCAAATGAAAGCAAAACGGCCCAATTTACAGAAGTTACGAATAGGGTTGGGAATTACAAATGTTTGTATACAACAATAAATATAAACTCCAATAAAAAAACATATATATCAAAGACCAGTATACATTAAAGCTTGCCTAAATGTGTACTTCATTTTCCATCTCCCAGAATGAATTGCAGAGAATCCAATCAACCAAATGAAGTGCTAATCCTCTGCAATGTCACTAGTCAAGGCAGTACTAAAAGGCAATCACTTAGTACCAATAGAAATATTTTCAACAAAACTAGAAGGGAGATGTGAACCTTGAAATAAAAAGTAACCCACAAATAAAATGAAATCTAAAAGGGAATCTGAACCAGAAGATGAAAACAAGAAATAGAATGCCAAGAAGCTACCCAGTGACGAATCTGAACGCTGACGATGAAAATAGAGGAGGCCGATAGAATGGAATAGAATCTAAACTTTGAAGAGGAGACCGAAGAATGTGAACGGACACAACAACGCGAACGGAAGGCCGACACTCTGAGTCTCAAAACCTGCACATTCAGGCGCGATTTGACCTGAGGAGGAGAAATGGAAGAAGAGTAGGAGTGGAGGATTGGAGGCGCCTTTGCTGGACTGGCAGACGATGGTGAAGGGGTTTCATCAGAGAAATAAACCCTTAGGCATTGAGGAAACCCTTAGAAGTGGTCTTGCTCCTCCTCTTGCGATTCTTGTAATTTTTCAAAAGAAGGAAATTAGAAAAAAATCCTAAAGAGAGCAAATTTGTGATATTTGTGGAGAGAAAATGAATTTTGTCTTTGCAAACGGAGGGAGGGAACATGCGAATATTTTGGAGGGGCAAGATTTTTCACACACATATAGATATAAAATCTAATTAAATGTTTCTTCAGTAAAAAATTATAAAATGAAATTGTTATTATAGAAAATATACTTAGCATTAAAATGATAAATTAATTATTAAAATTATTCCTTTTAATTATAATACCTCTCTCTCACATATATTATCTCACTTTTAATTATATCACATCTCTCTCACACACACTCTATCTTTCAGTACCTTCCCTCTCAATTTTCCCTCCTTTTTTTTACTAGCAATTTTTGCCATCTAAGTATGTAATTAGAGAAAATTAATACATACCTCAAAACCTAAATAGTAATAATAATATAGAAATACTGTCCAATAATGTTAAACTAATATCATACATATATATAGTGATATAAATATAAGATATATCAAGAAATAAGCATTAAAAAGAATATAATAATGTTAAAATAAAAAACATAAATATAAGACACTTCAATAATAAAGATTTAAACCGCAGTTTATTCGAAATATTTTTATCAAATTTAATACAAATATATTTGAAATCTTTGACAATAAAATATAGATATATTTAAATATGAGATTTACAAATTAAATTTAATCCACAGGATTATAATGATAGGGGCAGAATCTCTAACTTATATGTTACCAGGATGAAATTTTTTTTTTTTAAAGTAAATTTGTCAAGCTTTTTATAATATTCTAATCAAATATTTTTAGATCTAATAAGATTTTTCTTATTATAGTCTTAGATCTACTCTATAATCTCTAATTTTTTTTTTCTAATTATCATTTCTCAATTTCTGGATGACTAAAAAGAAATTCAAAATATTTATAATTATTGTTTTAGAAATTTAAGATATTGATTCTCTTTTTATACTTTACCATCCCCTTGTTTATCTTAGATATTCTTACATATAATTTCATTATCAAATGAGCATTTACTATTACTCCAAGTCACAAACGAGAATTAGGATACACACACACACTAGATTATATTTAATAACATGGGCCATCAGTTGAGTACTTCAGTCAAATAATGAAGCTAACCCAACATACTCGCTTTTGGATCTAAACTAACCTTGCCAAAACTTCTTCTGAACTTTCTTTTTTTCGAACAGATCAAGTATATGCAAATTGAGCTAAATTGACCTCGTTATTAGGTTTTCAACTTAACTCTATAGTTTATGGCGCCCTTATTATTCATTCAATGAAAATAAGTCAATAAATAATATTTCAATATGTTGTTAAATAAGTTATCAATTAGGTAAAAGTTCAACATGTCTTTACGCTTTCCACATATCTCATCATATCTAAAGAAACTTTTCACATATCTTATCATATCTAAAGACACTTATTTGACACTAATGTTGAAAGAAAGAGCAGCAATCTGACAAAAAAATTAATCATACTGTAACAAGAAAATAAAATCATATTACGAATTATATTCAGATTTTTAATTTAAGTTCACAAGCTCAAAAAAATATAATCAATTTCAAAAAAGTGCCTAATAAGGATATCAATTTTCTTCTATTTCCCAACAGAAAATATGTATAAATAATTAAACTATTATATTTTATATATAGATATATCAATTGTTAAAATACATGTCTAAATAATTACACTATTATATTATATAAATTTTTCAAATTTTATAATCATAATGTAGAATTTTGTGAATTTCATGTTAGCGATGGATTTTGTGACAGAATTTTGCGACAGAAACAAATTCTGTTAGAAAATCTGTCACAAAATAGGAGTAGAAATTAGCGATGGAAATATTTCGTCGCAAAATTCCGTCGCTAAGCCTATTTACTGACGGAATTTGCGACGGAACTATTCCGTCGCTAAAGTCCGTTAGAAATCCATCCCAAATCCGTCAAAAAAATTACCGACGGAATTTTCGTCAAAATTCCATTAGAAATTAGCGACGGAAAATATTTCGTTGGAAATTAGCAACGGAATTTTTTTCCGTCGCTAATAGACTGTTTTTTTTTTGTAGTGAAGCACACTGGTCAAGTGATGTGAACAGGCCAAAATCCATAGAGTACAAGACCGGACTATGGGTTCCCCCTTTGGTCTACTAACAGGGTGTCATGTGCCTTACAACACACGAAAGGGCGAAGGGATCAACCAGTATGCATTTGGCATCCTACCACCATATTACCTCTATAATATATACAAAATTTACCCCCTTATTTCCTCTATAATATGTCTCTCATCAATCAACATTCACCATCCTCTCTCATATTTATACTCATAAAATTTATAAAATAATTAGTTACCAATAACATAATAACTTTTACATTTACCAAAATCAAAATTTCTAAATTTCAATAATTAACATCAATTCTCAAAACTATTTCTTAATAAATTTGTGTCCCATATAACAACTTTATAGATTCATAATTTCATAAATATTTTTTAATAACATGAAGCATCTCAAGATAATTTCAACAATAATACATTTCATTGTTCAAATCATATCCCAGGGGCATTTCAAGAATCTCATGTAATTCAAAATCACTCACAAACATTATACAAGCATACATAACAAGTGGAAAGTGGTTACCTTTCACCAAGGCTATAAAAAGGATTGCCACGAAGTCAACCATGTGCTCAAACCAATAACCGAATAATTAATCTACACAATTAATATAACCACATATTATCATAATCTAATTAATTAAGCTTATATGTATTAGTTAAATTTCTAATTTAATTTAATTTAACTTCTATTCTAAATTCTCACAACTCTTATAACCCAAAATTAAGTATTTTAGAA